GTCAGTCCCCATTTCTCCACCTCATTCCAGTCCAAGGCAACTACTAATCTACCTTCTCTTCGTATAGACTTGCCTATTCTTGATATTTTGTATAAACGGAACCATACAATATGTGGTCTTCTGGGACTGGCTTCATTTACTTAACATACCATTTTCAAGGTTCATCCATGTTGTAGCATGTATCAGTACTTCAGTCCCTTTCATCATTGAATAATATTCCACTGTATGGGTACACTGTGTTTTATTTATCCATTTATCAGTTGATAAACATCTGGGTTGTTTCCAATTATTGGCCATTATGAATAATGCTGCTATGATCTTTCAGGTACAGGTTTTTGTGTGGATGCATGTTTTTATATACCTAGGTTGGAATCATTAGGTCATATGGTAACTCTATGTTTAAACCCTTTAAGGAACTGCCAAACTGTTTTCCAAAGTGTGATTTTAATTTTAGCCAGTTTGATGGGCATAAAATAGTTCCACCAACTTTATAATGTGCACTTCCTTACTGAGTCTGAGACTCTTCTCTTTCATTTATTGGTAATTTAGGTTTGTTTTTCTTGAGCTGCTTTTCATCTCTCTTGTCTTTTTTTTTGAGTTACTTTTTTTGCTTCTTATAAACTTCCAAGAGTTTGGGGCTCCTGGGTGGCTCAGATGATTAAGCGTCTGCCTTCGGCTCAGGTCATGATCCCAGGGTCCTGGGATCGAGCCCCGCATCGGGCTCCTGGCTCAGCAGGGAGCCTGCTTCTCCCTCTCCCTCTGCCTCTCTCCCTGCTCATGCTCTCTATCTCTGTGTCTCAAATGAATAAAAAAACTTAAAAAAAGAAAACTTCCAAGAGTTCTGTATATATTTTAGATATTAACTAATTTACTATTGTCTTCTCTGTAAACAGTTTGTCTTGATTTTTACATTAGTCTTTAAATGTTGCGGTATCTTGTGTTGTATAAAATATTCCATTTTTTGGAAGTGAACATATCTTCTGGGTTTTTGTGTTTATTAAAAAGTTCTACCTTACTTCCAGATTACAAATGCAGTTACCTACATTTTCTTCTAAAATTTTTGTTTATTTTACTTTAAGTCTTTATGGAAAATCTATATCATATACAGTACGAAATAGAAACTTAAATAATTTTTCTACTGAAATGATGTATCATCTTAATCATATATAATTTTTTTTAAGATTTTATTTATTTGACAGAGAGAGACACAGCGAGAGAGAGAACATAAGCAGGGGGAGTGGGAGAGGGAGAAGCAGGCTTCCCGCCAAGCAGGGAGCCCGATGCGGGGCTCGATCCCAGGATCCTAGGATCATGACCTGAGTCAAAGGCAGGCGCTTCACCCAGGCGCCCCTTAATCATATATTAAGTGATCAAATATAATGAATTTTTTCTCTGGATTCTCTATTCTAGTGTTTTTCAAGCCACAGGTTAGGACTACTTGTTGCTTTTAAAATCAATTTAGTAGGCTTTATTGGCATTTTAAAAAATACAAAATAAAGAAAATATCAGTATATATCATATATAACAAGGGTAAGTGCTTCATGAAACTTTTATTTCTATTTTTTTTAAGATTTCATTTATTTATTTAGAGAGAGAGAGAGAGAGTGCATGTGTGGGGAGAGGGCCTGTGGGAGGGGGGTAAGGAAAGAATCTCAAGTAGACTCTACGCAGAGTGCAGAGCCAGACGTGGGGTGATCTCATGACCCTGAGATCATGACCTGAGCCAAAACCAAGACTTGGACACTGGACTGACTGAGCCACCCAGGCGCCCCTTTATTTCTGTTTTTTAACACAAACATATAAACACATCAAGGGTCATGATGCACGTAAAATGTATTTCTTATTGCGAGTTATAATAAATAAAATTTGAAATCTTAATTTCTTCCATTATATTCCATTAATCCATTTGTCTATTCCTTTGCTCTTATGTATCTAATTCTAGTGGCTGTGTTCTGATATCTGGTAAGGCAGGTGCATCTCCCTTTTTAGCTACTCCTGGATATTTGTTCTTCCACATGAACTGTGTGGTCAACTTTTTCCTACCATTAAAAATATTTTTTTTGTTTCCATTCTAATTAGAATTGCTAATTCAGAAGAAATTATACTTTTATGATATTAAGTTCCCTGCAGCCCATCTAGTATTTGGTATGTCTGCTTACAAAACATGGTATGTTTCTATAATTCTTATTACATAGGTCCTGTGGTTTACTTGCTAAATTTACTCCTAAGTATTTTATAGTTCTTTTCATTGCTGTGAAAGAAAAATTTTCCCATTTTCATTCTGTGTGCTTATTGCAAATACAGAGAAGCTATCATTTTTATTTACTTTATATCTAGCTATCTTACCAGACTCTTTTATTAATTCTATTGTTTATAATCTGAGTCTCTTGTGTTACCTAATCGTATTGCTAGGACCCCTAAAAATGGTAAATAATTTGACAGTATAAAATGGCAACACTGAGAATCTTGCTTAGCTCCTGATTGTAAAATGCTATTTAGGTAACATACACAAGAAATTAATTACACAGAGGGACACCTGGGTGGCTCAGTCGGTTAAGCGTCTGCCTTCGGCTCAGGTCATGATCCCAGAGTCCTGGGATCAAGTCCCGCATTGGGCTCTCTGCTCAGTGGGGAGCCTGCTTCTCCCTCTCCCTCTGCCACTCCCCCCTGCTCGTGCTCTCTCTCTCTCTCTGATAAATAAATAAAATCTTTAAAAAAAAAGAAAAAAGAAATTAATTACACAGAAAACTGGAACCCATTCCTCTCTCTTCCGTTTCTCAAGTTATTCCTCATGTTATAGTCCCCATCCCTGCTCCTCCTTTCCTACAGCTTCTAAACTGTGCTACGAGTGAGAGGCTCTGACTTCTGATGTCTGGGTAGTAGGGAAAAGAGGTGCTGCTGGCTCTCAGTGTACCATTAAAAATACATATCCATACATTCAGATATATGCATACATCGCACAAGGTAAGATACTGAAAGGAATATCAAGAAATGAAGAACGTCCAGAAAGACAATCAAATAAGAAATGAAAGACATATGAATCAATAATGTTATTTCAAATATAAATGATACATGTTCCAAAATAGGCATGAACCAAGAGCAGAGGAAAATAGTTGCTTATAGTATAGAAAGAGTAACAGGTGGAGGTTACCTATATATGACAATTATGCTATAATTTGGATATATTATAGATTAAAAAGCTTTTGAGGGATTGGCTGAACCTAATTAGCATATGTATTACTATTTTCTTAGAGGAAAAAACTGTTTTCAAATAATTCACTTACAAGTGAACTTCTAGCAACATAACTCCTGTATTTCTTAAAGACCACTTGGACAGGTGATAGTAACAGTCCCAAAGTTGTAGTACTGCCAGTAAAAGGAAATAACAAGAAGAATAAATAAGAGCCTGGTTTAACAATGCCCTTTCCTGTTTACCCCTTGAGAACAGAATTAATTTTATTCAATAAAAATAAAAGAAAATGAATCTTTTATCCTGCAAATTGCTTAAAAATTGAAATTTTGTAACTGCAGGTACTATGTAATTTTTATTATAATGTTATAATTCACTGTTAAAATTAATATAGCTTCTCATATTGCTAAAAATACCATAACGCAAATTTTTACCAGGGTCAAAAATTTTCATTTTTGAATTCATACAGTGTATAATAGCAAAATGCAGCTGTTACATAAAGCATAGTTTGCTGGTTCATTCATGCTATAAAAATATGACTGACATTTCATCTGGTCAACCATCCTAAAGGTTAATTCTTGTTTCCTGTTTCAGATTTTATTCCAGGTGAACTTCTCTGGGTAGATTCTATCTACCTATTCTGAACAAACCACAAACTGTTTCATTGCTCACTCTTACTGTTAAGAACATATTGACTTGCTGCCTGCTCTGCTGTTTAATTCATTTATGCTGAGAGTCAGGCATGAAGACAGAATTTTAAATGTGACATTTGCAGGCTGTTAGGTCATTTAAGCTCTGACAACACTAGGGAATTCCTGACATATAAACTGGACTTGATTACCAAACACAGACAGGCTTCCCAAAGCAGCAAATTTCTGGTCATATTTTTTTTTGTAATTTCTCATAGAATTTAATATTAAATTTCAATGCCAATGAAAAGATCTATATGGCCAACATTTTAAAGTAAAAGCCTGTTTCTTTTAATTAGCTCAAACCAGAACTTCTTCTAACCAAATCCGCTAAATGAAAATCATTTTGGTTGACAAAGATATATGGAAAGACTCATAATAATAATTAACAGTCACCTCAGATTCTGATATATTCTGATATTTAAGAGCTTTTAATATTTTCTATAATCTATAGATTCTGAAAAATCTGGCAGTTCCGAAGGCCATGACTCTTGTCAACAGACCACTTAGAATTCTTAGATTCTGGCCAGCGCAGAGCCAGACTTTATATGCTGTCAAAGTCACACCATAAAATCTTAGTTTAAATACCTACCACACTGCCTTCTCTAAGATTATAGTTATGCAGAACGGATGATAGAGTCATTATAATTGGAAATGAAAAAAAACCTGCCCACATGACATTTAGAATTACACTTTACAAGAGTTGATAATGGGGTACGGTGAAGGAAGTAAGGAAAGATTGTTTTCTTATTTTAGCTACTCAAAAAAATTACACCAAATGACAATTTTTCAGCTCTTTTTCCTTGTCACTAACAAGTGCTACAGTGGTTCAAATGAAAGTTTTCTGAAATTAAGTCTTGATGTTAAGTAATGAACAAAAGATAATTCTGATTTTACCCTGTATTTTATATAAGAGTCCCACTATGCACAGCAAGTAGCCTTTTAATACTGCGTTTTGAATGAGACTTCCAACTGTAATAGGTGGGGTCTAAATAGGGATAGATGGCCTGGAATGCCTTTCAGCTATTCCACATTGATTTTGAAAAACCTAACAAAGGCAATTACTTTTCAAAGATTAAAACTCTTGTTTCTTTCCAAAGAATAAAACAGGAGAAGCAAACCTGGTGTATTATCTGAGCTACAGGAAGTTGTTCAGCATATTTCAGTGGTTCCATGAGTTCCTCATCCATCCAGTCTTTCTTATATCTGAAAAAAAGGAATTAAAAAACACATGCCTCAGGTAAATACTATCTTTAAATACGGCAAATATTTAAATATGCCAAATATGAAAACTATTAAAAATCTATATTTAATGTTTCTGAGATAATCAGTATTTATTAAAATCTGTGAAAAACCACCTAGTGATAATTTTTAAGTGACGTAACGATAAGTACATTCAGAACACATTTAATTACTATATAATAAGCTACCATCATCTAATATTCTCAGATCCTGTCTTTTACTCTGGGACTTAAAAATATTTAAGAATTCCCTGTTTATAGGGTGTACTTTTTAATACAGTATTTAAAGTCTTCAAAACCTGGCTCCAACCACATTCAACCTCCATCTCTAGCAACTCCTTCTCAATAGACTGTACCAGTCTATTGTTTCAGCCACATCCAACTACTGGCTACCTGTCAGTGGGCCTTGCAGCTCCATGCCTCTTGGATGCTCCCCGTTCTGTTTCCTGTTGGGACCAACCACCAATTCCTTCTTTATTTACTATTCTTTCAAATATAATTATTTAAACCTGTCTAGATATATTTTTCACCTCCCTGAAGACAAAAATCATGTCTTATTTTTTCGTGTATATCCAATGTTTACTATATACTACTTAATAAATGTTTGCTGAATGAATGTATGAATAAAATGAAGACAAAATAACTGAGAAATTATTTTATATGAAAAATATTTTCTTTACTATCTACATTTACAGTGAGATGCAGAGTTGACATAATACAGACTTAAGATAGTATAAAATAGTAAAGTACACAGTAAGAATAAAATCTCCCCAAATGAAGAGAATTAGAAAAAATGTTTTTAAAAATTTTTGACCCTTTTCTGAAATAGGAAATAATCATTAGATTTCAAAACAGTAAGACTTAAGCATATTTAAGCCTCCTTTACCCATTTTTTTCTGTAAATTACACAGCAACTTATCAACTTTTTTAAAAAATTAAATTTTAAAAATTGAAAACTTCATTTGTCTTGAAAAATAACCAAACAAGACTGGTCTAAGTTTCTAGGGCTGCAGTTAAGGAATGTGATGATGAGAAATGTGGCATCTCTCCAGAAAAAAAAGCAGATAAACAAGGACAAAATTTTGCCTATGATTTAAGAGTTTGAAGAACCTCTTAACTAGGTAAAAGCTTGTGTATGCCTTGCAGAATTAGTATAATATTTGGGGGAATTTTGAAGACTCACTCATGATGAAAAAAATTGTCTTAAAACCTTGCTTTATAGGGACAGAAAGCAGAATGGTGGTTGCCAGGGGTAAAGGTGGGGAGAACAGGGAGTTATTGTTCAAAGGGTGTTTCAGTATTGAAAGATGAAAAAAGCTCTGGAGATAGACAGTGATGACGGTTCATGATAATTGAACTGGATATTAAAAATGGTTAGAATGGTAAATTTTATGTTACATATACGTTATGGGCTGAACTGTGTCCCCCCACAATTCATATGTTGAATAAGTACCTCAGAATATGAGTCAGAATAGAGTCTGTAAAGCGGTAATTAAGGTTAAGTGAGGTCATTGGCGTAGGCCTTAATCCAATGTGATAATGTCCTTATAAGAAGAGAAGATCAGGGCACCGAGGCAGACTGTGTAACGACCAAATGAAGACACCAAGGGAAGATGTGGCCATCTATAAGGCAAGGAGAAAGGCCTTAAAAGAAACCAACCCTGCCAACCCCTTGATCTTGGCCTTCTAGTCTCTAGAACCGTGAGAAAATAAATTTCTGTTGTTTAAGCCACCCAGTCTGTAGGACTCCATGATGGCAGCCCTAGCAGACTAATACATTGCATTTTACCACAACTAAAAATAAAATAAATGTTCATTACCAAAAAAACCATTTTTTAAAATGTACAATTGCACAGTATACATTTAAGAAGTCTATCTACCTTTTTAGGTATATAAAATACATATCAAGCAACAAAAGAAATATAGATGCATTGAAAATCATCAAAATTTAAAACTTCTGGGGCCCCTGGGTGGCTCAGTCAGTTGGGTGTCCGACTGGAGATTCTTTTTCTCCCTCTGCCCCTCCCCCTGCTCACATCACCCACTCTCTCTTTCTGTAAAATAAATAAATAAGTCTTAAAAAGAAGTTTAAAACTTCTGTGCTTCAAAAGACACTATCAAGAAAGTGAAGAAACAACCTAAAGAATGGGAGAAATTTTGGGCACCTGGGTGGCTCAGTTAGTTAAGCGACTGCCTTCCGCTCGGGTCATGATCCTGGAGTCCCAGGATCGAGTCCCACATTGGGCTCCCTGCTCAGCAGGGAGTCTGCTTCTCCCTCTGACCCTCCCCCCTCTCATGCTCTCTCTCTCTCTCTCTCTCATTCTCTCTCTCAAATAAATTAAAAAAAAAAAAAAAGAATGGGAGAAATTTTTTGCAAATCATATATCTGAGAAAGGATTTGTATCAAGGATATATAAATAGCTCTCACAATTCAATCATTTAAAAAATCATTCAACAAAGAATTTTTCCTTAATCAACAAAGAGATTTGTAAGCAAAATTGGCATATATTTGTGTGTATTTGTTTCTTTTTTACTGTGTATCTATGGAGGGGACGAATACAATGACCACTCAGTACAGTTCAGTACCACTGCCTTGAGTCCTGTTAAGGCACCAGCCATTTCAATAAATATCTGCTGAAACAAAGATTAAATCACTGTAGTAATTCTAAAAGTACAAAGAAACATGAAAAAGACACTCTTTCCTTGCTTATTCCAAAAATGTAAAGTAACAATGTATAAGATGGAATACATTTAATTCACAAGATGTTTCTCAATAACTGTAAAAGATACAAAAATATTGGAAATCTAGCAATTTGCTTTGAGTGACTTTTTTTTTTTTTAATTAAGTAGGCTCCACGCCCAGTGTGGTGCCTGACGTGGGACTCGATCTTACGACTCTGAGATCAAGACCTGAGCTGAAACCAAGAGCTGGATGCTTAACTGACTAAGCCACCCAGGTGCCCCTTGAGTGACTTTTTAAAAATGCCAAATAGTATGAAAAATTCCAGACACATTTCTGTATTTTCTTTTTGTTGTATTTTTTTCTGAAACATGTGAAAGTAAGTTGCAGATATCATGACAGTTCACATCTAAACACATGTATCAACCAAAGGTAGGTTTAAAAATTTTCTTAATAACTGCAGGACAGGGGCGCCTGGGTGGCTCAGTCGTTAAGCGTCTGCCTTCGGCTCGGGTCATGGTCCCAGGGTCCTGGGATCGAGCCCTGCATCGGGCTCCCTGCTCCGCGGGAAGCCTGCTTCTCCCTCTCCCACTCCCCCTGCTTGTGTTCCTGCTCTCGCTGTCTCTCTCTCTGTGAAATAAATAAATAAAATCTTTAAAAAAAAAAATAATAACTGCAGGACATTTTTAAAAAATCACTCTAAGTACAATTCACAAGTTATCTTTGTATCACTTATCACTATGGACTTAGAAGTTTTTTTACTTATTCAGTGTTTTCACAATAAATTACAATTATTTCTCATTTTGAATTCCTTAAAAATGTCTGTCCATCATTGGACCCCTTTCAATATGGAGATGAAGATTTCTTTTTATTTCAGAAAAGTTTTTTTTATTATTTTAAATGTTATGTCTGTTCATTTTCCATTTGTTTTTCTAGTTTGAGTTCTTGAACTAAATATATTGGATTTTCTCTATCACTCTCTCTCCGATCCTTTCAGCACTCTTATTTCAGTTTCACTTTCTTGACTCTTTTTCATTTCTCTTCTTTATGTCTCTTACTGAACTTTTGGTAATATCTATCTTCCCTTGGGTACCTTGTAATTTAGTTTTCATTTCTGAAATGATTTTTGTCTTTTTCTGTCGATTTCCTTCCAGAGGTCAATCAGCTCCTGTTTCATACACCTTCCTGTTGTTTGTCCATTTCAATTGTGAGTTTTGGAACTCTGATGCATACTGTCCTTTCATAATGCAATTGCTTGTTTAATACAGGTTGTTCATGTTCAAGTGGTGTGTTTCAAGTTTCTTGCTTTGTGGCTTTTCTTTTGTTTTTATTTTTCCTTTCATTCTCTCTCTCCCCCTAACCCCTCTGTGTATGTGGAGAAGGTGTTATTTAAATTTTGTTTTCTTATAGCAATTTTATGCAGATCCTGGCTTCTTTTTCTGTGGAAGATTATTTGTATTGGTTTTCTCCAGAATCAGCAATAGCAAGTTACCTTGTGATGAGAAGAGAGGTAAGTTGGCTTATTAGGTTTCTCAGTTCAAGAGCACCCTCCACTGTGGCTTCAGTGAAGTGTAGATTCTTTTAAAAATGGAACTTTTTGGGGTGGTGGTGGTAGTGGGAATAATTTGTCCTTTTAAAAAATTTATCTTATTTCCTTTGGACCCTTATCTTCAGCTGCTTCTTTCTTTCCTTTCACCACCAAGCCTCCAAAGGAAACCCTCCCTGCCACCCCTTTTAAGGTCTCTTCCATTCTCTCAGAATGAGTGCTTTCCCCAAATTGTCACCTTAGGACAGCCACACTTTCTAAGCCCTATCTCCCAAATCCAGAGGCCAGGCCTCTGATCAAGGAGTTCATGCTTACAGTATAATTCAGAAAAGGAGAAAACCACAAATGTTAATTTCAATGGATATATGGCTGCCATCCTAAGGACACTGGGAATTTTCTCTTGCAGTATAAGGTTCTCTTTCTTAAAGCCATCCTAGTATTCCTTCTATTTAATATTTGAGCCTCTCCTAAAAGGATGTAATTTTTCTTTTATCTTTTTCCAGATCCTTCACTAAGATCTACCTAAATAACTTTACAAAGGAGTAATTTCTATGTGGAAAAAGCTGTGCATTCCTTTTTTTACTTGACTATTTTTTTTGTGTTTTTGTAGAAAACTACAGTAAGTGGAATTTGCAGGGTTTTGGATCCAATATAGTGATGATACCATCTCAAATTGAAATATTATTCAAATCCTCTGCATAACTAAATAAAATACTGCTGGCAAAATTCTGACACCTGT